TTTGAGCAAGTCGATATGCCAGCTGCATGTTTTTAGAGATGGGGTTTTTCCATGCTGCCCAGGCTGCTCTCAAACTTTTGGATTCAAGTGATCCGGCTGCCTTGGCCTCCCAAAGTGCTGGGATTACAGGCATCAGCCACTGCATCTGGCCTGTTTTTAAATTTATAATAATTAAGGATGTATTATTTTGTAAGCAGCATAAAATTAATAAAGGTTAATTTCCAATAGACCTGCCACAGAGCCAGTTCAGGAGAGAGTGACTCGGGTTTTTAGACCTCTCTATAGGAGGCCAGGAGTGTGAGAGGGAAACGGATTTCCAGAGAAGATCACAGATCCCTCCGACAGGCTGTTTGTGCCAGAGCCCCCGTGCCCGGGCCCTGCAGCTTCCTGGAACCCTAACTCACAGCCCAGCCCTGCAGCTGCCCCAGGAGTTCCCCACACTGCTGCTGGGGGATCTAGTGAAATAAATGGGAGGCCGGGACCAGCACGAAGGGCAAGTCTGCACGGGCAGCGATGCCAGGGTCCTCCTGGTGGCACTGAGGGCCTCACTCTGCTCCACAAGTGTCCCCCAGATCCGTGTCTCATGCTCAGACCTCACCCCATTTCCTGCCTCTGCGCTTCTCTCGCCCCACGGCCCCTCCACACACCTTCTCCTGCCTCCCCTTCCCACTCCAGCGAGGATCCACATCCCCTGCCCCGACCTTGGCCCCAAGCACACGCCTGGCACAGAGTCAAGCCAGGTTGGCAACCGTCAATCAGAGGTTCCCTGAGAGGAGGCCCTGCCAGTTGAGATGTTAGGTTAGCCCTCCGCCCCCAGCTCTGTGAGGAGCTGCTCCAGCTGCACCCCAAGAAGCTGGCCACACGTCCTCAGCACCACATTTCTGTCCGGACGCCCTGTCCACGTGTTCTGGACTTCGCCCTGGCTCCCGCACTGGGCTTCCTGTCTGAGGAAGGGGGCTTCTGGTTTATCTTCTCCACCAAAGGGGTCCTTGGACCCAAACAGGGTCCCCCTCTCATTCCAGGAAGTTGGGACAGAGAAGGAGCTTTAGGGGAGGGGAGGCAGTGTGCAGACAGACCCCAGGGGCACAGCTGAAGTCCTCACTGCTCACGGAGCCATTATCAGTGAAGGCCATGGCACACCACCCACAGGCCAGAGCAAACACAAAGGCGGGACAGGCCCACACGGCCGAAAGACCCTACAGATGACGGACTCACTGGGTTTTACCAGAGTGCCGAACCCTGAGATGAAGAAGTCAGAAAAGATGTAGACATGCCTTGTGGGGTCCTGGGTGGGGGGATCCTGCGTGGGAGTGTCCTGAGTGGGGGGTCCTGGGTGGGGTATCCAGGGTAGGGGTGTCCTGGGTGGGGGTTCCTGGGTGGGGGGGTCCTCAGTGACGGGGTCCTGGGTGGGCGGGATCTTTGGCAGGTCAGGTCCTGGGAGGGTGTGGTCAGCAGTGGGGATGGTCAGGCAGAGCTTAGGGGCCTATCAGAGCAATGCAGCTGTAAGAAATGGAGATTCTGGCTGCAAGCCCCCAGCTGAGCCCTCACCATCCCTTGCAGCACTCTGTGTGCAGATGAAAGGCGGGGCCCCCAGCGACGGTTCAGCAGGGAACCACCCTGAAGCTTAGGCGCCCAACCTTGGAGGTGAGATGGGAGCAGAAAAAAGAAGTGGTCCAAGAGGCTGCCTGACCGGGGAGACCCCTGACCCTCCTGCCTGAGTTCCAGGAGGAGGAACCCACACCCCAACTCAGTAAAGCAGTGAAAACGGTGTTGGATTGGAAACACACACAGTCGCCCTGAGATGAGAAGACAAAGGACCAACGGAACCCGGGCCGTGGCGGTGTCTGTTCGATGTTTCTGGACTGAATTAACGATGGATGAGTGAGTTCAGAGGCAGTTTAATGACATCTGTGTGGAGAGTGAGGACAGTGAAGACCCCAGCTCCCCCGGTTTATCCGATCACTCGACACTCTGACATCCCCACCGTCAGCTTCAGGTCATGTCCTGGGGCAGAGGCCACCACCATCTTCCATCTCAGCCTCAGCTTCGGGACCCAGGCTGAAAGGAGCCCCACCTGTGTTTAAGGAGACAGACACAGGGCCCACTGGGGTTCTGAGCGATTTCTCACAGCCTCAGGAGTTCTCATCTGCTGCTGGGAAGCAAAGCCACCAAGGGACAAGGATGGGGCACGGTGGGCCGGGAGAGAGCGACACGGCTTCTCACAGCAACCCAGGCTGCCCAGGGCGCCTCCTGCAGCCAACTGGGACAAGGCACCGGAGGGATACTGCACAGCTGCAAAAGTAACCCAAATATAGACCTACGCCCTCCCTAAGTCCACATCTACCCACTGGGAGATGCAGCCTAACACACAGATGACCTCCAGAAGTCCTAATGCCCCAGCCTGAGACAGGAGAAATGGTCACAGAGTCACAAGAAGCAGCCCTCAGTTTCTTTAAATGCAGGCCTGGCCAGAGCAGAGCCCTCTGCATAGGAGCGGTGCAGAAGGAAGAGCACCATGGACACCAGGCGCAGAGGTGCACACCTGCAGGGCTCAGCAGCACCCCAGCCTCCTCCGCCTCCTCCCCAGCACCGTCCTCAGGCTCTCCAGCATCGTCATAGTTCTCCTCCAGGCCCAGGTCCCCAGACGCTGCAGGTCCCTCGTCTTTCTGCCCCATGGGGAAGGCTCCGATGTCCTCATAGATACCCTCTGAGGACAGATGCCCTGACATGCCACAACCTGCAAAGGCCACACCAGAATGTTCTAGAAGAAATGCTCCTGCAGTCTAAGCCCACCGTGCCTGGCCCCTGTGGTCTCTCATGCATGCCAGCACCCCTGGCTCCTCTGTCAGCAGCCGCCACAGAGAGCAAAGACCCCCCCCCCCAGGGGCCACTTGCTACTCTGGGCACCCAGGGCTTGTGTCCAAGGGTGGGGCCAGTGGTCTCAGCCTCTGAACACACCCAGGAATGACCCCCATTGCCCACAAGTCACAGGGGGTCAGCAGAACCCTGGAGCCTGTTCTCACTCCAGGCGGTCCTGGGAGTGTGGATTTTTTTGATCCAGCACATCTTGGGGGCAAAGCAAGACTCAGACATAGGGTCCCTGAGCCCCCAACAGCTCATGGGTCTACAGAGAGTCACTGAGCGGTCATTACGGGGAAGGCCACTCAGCATGCAGGGCAGTGACCTGCAGTGACCGGGTCCCACAGAGCATGCCCCCAGCCTCCCCACCCCAGGGCCCTGCTCGCCACGCCTGGGCATGCCCACTTACCCCTGCAGGCTGCTCTGCGGTGGCACCACTTCATCCCCAGGAACAGAGAGATGATGCCCAGGAGGGAGCCGAGTACCAGGCAGGTGAACTCAGGCAGGGCCCAGGCCATGTGGGCAGGTGGAGGGGCCAAGGGAGGGGCTGTGGGGCACAGTGAGAGGTGGGGCCTGCTGTGCACCTGGGCTGCCTGGGCCATTGTGACCCTGGCCTGGGAGGACCTTAGCCTCATAGGGATGGGGGCACCCCAGGAGAGGTGGGCCTCTGTGCTGCCTGAACAGGTGCTCCTTCCTTGGAGAGACAGGTTGAGACCACAGCACGAGAGGCCCAGGTGGGAGAATCCAGGTGTGTGGGCCCTGGTCGTGGGTGCAGGTGGAAGAACCCAGGCTGACAGGCTCAGACAGTGGGTGCAAGTGAGGAAGGCCCAGGTGGGAGAACACAGGTGGACAAATCCAGCTGTGTAGGCCCAGACTGTGGGTACAGCTGGGAGGGCACAGGTGGGGAGGCGGAGGTGGAAGGCACAGGTGGAAGGCTCAGGTGGGAGAATCCAGGTATGTGGGCCCAGAGAGGAGCAGCAGAGTGATGATCCGGGGAGGGGTTAGGCCTGTGGAATGTGCTTACTGTCCTCACTGCCCACTGCCCTCAGCTCTGCCTTGACACAGACCTAGTGTCCAAGGGGCCACAGCTTTCCAGGGCCAAGCCCCCCAGCTGCCAAGGCAAAGACCCCAGAGAAGTGGCTGTGAGGGGCCTGTGGCCTCTGTCCCCAACACCCCCAGATCCCCATATATTCACTCAGGTGGGTACAGGGAAGGAGAGAACTTTCCATCACAGAAGGGGGTGCTCTGTCAGCATGGTCAGCCCTGAGCCCCAGTGCAGTCCCCAGCCGGGCCCAGGCGCACAACAGGGACCAGAACTTGAGAAAACCACCTACCCAGGGGCGGCGGCGGCGGCACTGTGGTCCCCGAGTCACCTGCAGTAAACGGTGGCACGTGAGGGCCGGGACGGGAAGGCAGCTACAGCCCTGAGCTGCACAGACCCTCGGGCAGACCGCGGCAGCAGCAGCCCGGCACACTCGGCCTGAGCCGACAGGTCTGGTCCCAAGCAGCCTGACTTGGAGCAGCCATGAGGGACCATGCGTGGGGCAGCCTCAGGGCTGGGTGCTGGGGATCTGCTTCAGGGGAAAGGGGACAGACACCACCGCAGGACTGCCCAGCGCCCCTCTGCCCAGCGCTCCCCTCCCGCGCTCACCCAAGCAGCGCACGCCCGCATCCTCCTTGTGCGCGCAGTCTCCGCGTCCCCACCGCTCCGCGGCGCAGCCCCGCAGGGACCCCTCGCTGCCCCGGCACCCCACCTCGTCCAGCCACACTGGCCCGGAGCCAGGGCCAAAGGCGGCGGCCGCCAGGGCGGCGACGGCGGGACCACAGCCC